TTGTAATGATATTTTTCACTATATTACGGTTTTTACTCGAATAAATGCAGCCTTAGTTTGAATCTTTAAAGAGAATATTATTCACTTTTTTTAAGCATGCATTGTGTACACCTATTAAGGGCTGTTGATTTAGCCTTCATTCAAAGTACAAGCCGTGTACTAAAGCCACCGCAAACAGTGAGTGATTATGGAAAACAGCAGATGTGTAGTTGTCAGTGTTGGGGTTCATCAGACTACGGCTGGCCATCCTTATACCTTGTTTACCACTCTGCCCGACCACCACCTGGCACACGAGTTTATATCGTGGTGGATTGACATCTTTTAGTTTACTGAGAACTAGATCTGCTAACATCTGACACAGCTGGCTACAACTATCAGGACTGTAACACACACCTTCCAAATAACTATCCAAAATGGCCTGTAAGATCTGCTGGGTCCTGCTGGCACTGAAATGGCACCCTGGTTCTGGTCCCATTCTGTAGGTGTTCTCCACATACACCTCCTGGATGGGTTGTTGAAGGTATAGTCCAGAGAAGCTCACTCTTCCTCCCTGGTGCCAGCCTGCGAATGAGAACCGCTTGCCCATGGAGATGTGAGAATTGCTGACGTTGGGGCTCAAGAACGATAACTCGGATGAAGGAACCGTCATGCTCCTGAGAAACAGGGGTCTGTGGTGGGGCTGGTCTTTGGAGCTTCGGCGAGTGGAGATAGAGCCCAGACGTCGCCTTGGAGGCCCCGAAGCACCTGGTTCTGTGGACATGGAGCGATTGAACTGAGCTAAAGTCTCCTGAGACAGTGGTAGATGCTGATTGGCCATGATGAAGAAATCTGTGAGGACACACATCACATTGTATTGATCAACATGTATGTATGTATATATATATATATATATATATATATGTGTGTGTGTATATATATATGTATATGTATATATATATATATATATGTATATGTAAAATTATAAATAGACTTGCAATAATTTTGACCTAATTCATAGCAATAAAAAGAAAGTTCATTTCATTTATTTCACACAATTTTCAAGGAATAGTTCACCCAAAAAATTTAATTTGCAGTCAATCTAAAATGTACAGTAGATTTTGTTTATTCTGTGGATTAATTGGTGGATCATCGTGATGTTTTTATCAACAGTTTGAACCCTCCTTCTGACGGCACCCATTCACTGCAGAGGATCCATCGGTGAGAATGTGATGTAATGATACATTTCTCCAAATCAGTTCCAAAGAAGAAACAAACTCAACTACATTTTAATTTTTAATTTTTTTGTGAATTAAAATATTTATAAATAGTTTTACTTAATACACATTTATAATTTATTATTTTATATATAAATATTTTAAATCATTTATTGCATATTATTTAAATATTTATATTTATTTTTTAATATTTATTTTTTTTAATATTAATTTAATATGAAAAAGGTTACTGCTGAACCACCACTGACATTGAGGGAACCACCATAAAGGGCTGCAGTCCAACAAATAATCAGATTAGTGCTTTTTATTTATTTGTTTGTTTGTTCATTCATTCATTCATTCAATGACTCATTTGTAAACTACTACCTCAATCCACGTGGTTACCGGCTTTGCAAGTAGGAATAGGTATCATTTACGAACCCTAAAGCTATGTGTTGTGCGCCAGTCCTGTTACATACTAAATGTTTTAGGGTTGAAGATCATTGCTAAAACGTCTTTGCGCCCACCCTGAGCAACTATCATTGCACCACACTTCATTTTTTTCCTACCAGTATTCTTGTGCATTGTGCCAAAAACAATATTTTTCTTTAAAAAAAAAAAAAAAAAGGACGAAGACAAATGTTGCTTCTTTGAAAATGCATCTGGCATTTTAATTTTAGTAAAAGCTACAATTAAGCTACAATATAAGATACAATTCCATTTAACCCATTACATTTTAACAGTGATAAATTAGGATAAGCTTATTAACTGATACTTCAGTGAAAAACACAAAATTATGTTGTTGTTTTTCACACTACAGTAATCAGTGTGAAATGTGTCAAAGTCAAAAGTTCAGTATTCTATTCATTACATCTCTAGTAAGTCATTCAGGCACAAATGGCATAATTTCCTGGGAATTACCCACATTGTATTTGTTGAAAAAGATGTGAACTTACAAAGATGGTCATCTCTGTAAAAGAGGTCATGTGAGTTCAGTGGTTAAATTCATACAGTCACAATCAGGTATGAGACTAAGGGCCTTTCCCAGTAACACAAACTGAAATTTGACTATTGTTTCCTCAAGGACACAGGTTTCTAAAATTAGACTGTTTTCTTAAACCAAAAACGTTTCTATGGATCTAATTTAAAAGGTAATTGAGATTTATTAGTTATAGACCTACTGCGCAAGAATTTGGCCCTCATAAATCCATGCTTATGGAGTGTGGTACTCTTTGTTATTTGTTACTCTTTCTTATAAAGGGAGTCCAGACAGAGCTGCCATCAGGGGGGAACAACCAGGAACATTGTCCCAGGCCCTGGGACTAGAGGAAGCCTACTAAATCAATGCTTCTTAATGTATGGAGGCTGGGGTCCAACATTATAATTTGGTCCCGGCCCTGTGAATTGAGCTCTGTGTTCAACAAAATCATTTCAAAAGGTGTTCACTACATCAGTAGGCAATTAAAAAGGTGAGAATTGTGAGAGTGACAATATGATGAGTCACAAATCCAACATAAGAAAAGCAATAGTGTGTCAGCTTAAGATTGAACAAATGCTTCCAAAAACACATGAATAATCCTAAACAGAGTAGATCTACGGTCAAAAATCAATGACCTGAAGTTGTTTGGGCCAAAGTGCCATCAAACTACCATTTGGAACTGATGTACTTGCAGAAAAAAAAGCTTTGTTTAGTTGTTGTTGGAAATTTTGTGAATGTTAGATTTGTCCAATAAAATGACATATTTCATAACTGAAAAAGGCCAGTGAAGTGTTAATCGAAAACACATAAATGCCTTTTTTTATCTCTTTTGCTGAGGTTTTGATTCTTAATATAATATTTTATTATAGAGAGGATATCAATTTATTCGGCCAGGCTCAAGAGGTTTTCCAGAGACAGCTTAAGTCCAGACCTAGATTACGTTTCTAACAATTAAAAACTATTAAAATTTTATTTTAACCTGGGCACCTGGTTAAATCTGTTACTTGGAAGCAAACCAGAACAGTTTCTTAAAGAGAATGAGATTCTTTTTCATGTATGAAACTTTTCTTAAACAACACCAACAGGGAAGTTCCCACCTGTCTGTGCAGTAAGTTATTGTTAAAGTCCTCAGATTGAATCAACAGTATACCACACCTCAGGTTCAGTTCACCTCTCTTCTGCCTCTCCCCAGTCTTTGCCTCCACACCACTCTTGAGAGATATTAATCTACGTGCCAAAACATTCACCCCGGTTTACCGCTCTACACACATGTAGAATAGTAACAGTAAGTAAAAAACGTAAAAGTACAAGTATGGGTAGGATAGAGAGTAAGAATGAGTCTTTCACAACTGAGTCACTAGAAAAGAACAGCAGGTGATTGTACATCCTCATTCAGATAAGATCATTTAATTAGCACATCTTTACCGTCAGCTTCCACACCATGGGCAGCAAAAATGAACAAGCTAAAATGGCTCTTGAGTCAGAGGTTTTACATAAGCTCCAAAATGAATCTACTAAAGTTTCTCTGAGAAGCACATTTATTGGTTTGATAGTTTTAAAAATATATTTAAGTATCAGTTTGATACATCATAACTTGTAATGTAAATTTTGTCAGAATGGATTCATTATAAAATGTAAATTATATATATACATGTATACATACAGTATATACATATATACATACAGAATGGATTAACAATACAATTGAAATTATATATATATATAAGTTTAATAATAGCTGTCAAATAAGTTTTGTGTTAGATAAATAGGTTAGAGTGAAAATTTAAAGGGAAAATTGTATTTTAAATGATTATTTTTACCACTTGCATGATTAGGATCTCTGAGACCCAAAACATAAAAACAGTAAAGTCAATCTCAACAAGCCATGAGTGTTAATATGACTTCCAAAACCATCTACAAAAATCAATAAAATATTTATTTAGTATGTTGTCTTGGTATCGCCGTGATGATGGGTTACCCCAAATTTCCTTACCCGTTTAGGAGCTCAATTAAAATTTGAAAATTGTTGTATTCCAGGTTCTCTCTTCTCAACTAATGTTGTCACTAAGTGGTCCATGCTCACTGTTGCGAGTGCATCTCTAAGTAAAGAGCGGCCCCGTAAATTATTGTCAAAATGGGCTGCATGGGCAGACACACTAAACAATGCCCCTGCAAGCCAGGCAATCATTCACACAGAGCATTGAACAATCTGGATTTCTGCCACGAACTTGCTTGTAGTCATGGAAAGCCTTCGATTTTAACCTTCCACAGCAGCCTGACTGGCTTATCAACAATTATGGCTGATGTCCAGTGCAGTCATGGGTAATCAAGTAAAATATCATTTTTTTTGTTGGCAAATGTTTTGTTATGGTCATTTTTGTATTTCCAACAGTGCTGTGGAGCTTCATCGCAAAGGGCCTTAGTGTGGCACACTGATCTCTTGTATTTGAGAGAGAAAGGGTGCTGATCTCTGGTTGCCAGTGGGCGGTATCAGGCAGAGCCATCTGTTTCCACTGCAATCAAGAGGAAAAGGAGTGCTGCAGTCACGTCCAAACACAAGCCGCTCATGAAACGCACCTCTGTGCTGTATCTCTGACTCACTAAACCAGTCTTAGCAATGTCAGGGGGCTCTACAATCTATGTGAGAGTTATCTCAAAGAATATCACTGACAAATACTTTATATAATGGAAAATTTGTTGTTCATAATCATGATAAAGTTTCCACCCCTAACTCTCTGTATTCTCTGTATTGTTTTTAGTCATGCGAAACACAAGGATATTTGAGAGGAAGTTGGAAATAAATGACAGATGCACAAAGGTCAACACGTTCCAGCATGTCTGGACATGTCTGCAGGTGTATCAATAAACTAGTGGAGTTTAAAAAGTGCTGTCGAGCCAAAAACACAAACAGTGGAGGCAGTTGAAAAGCCAAGACCTTTGAGAGGGGAAAACCATAAATAGTGTTTTTATATAGACGAAGAACTCTCTGTTTTCCATAAATCAACTAGTAGATAGTTGCATTACAGAACTGAAACTTTTACTTTTCTGAAGAAAAAGTAGCGTTTGACGCCAAATGCTTACCAGAGATTTAGAATGGTTTCTTGGCTATGTGTTGCTTGGTTGTTAGGTTGGAGTACCAACCTTCAAGCAACGCTGTGATTGTTTACTGAAAAGTTAAAACTATTAAAAATAGTTTTTGTTAATTGAAATAAACTTGAAATAAAATAAAATATAAATGTTAGATGAAAATGTTATTTTGGCAACTAACTAAAAAAAATAGGTTTAAGTTGAAGTATAAAAATAAATATATATAAAAAAAATGAAAACACATGACAAAATTATTACAATTAAAACAAAAACTGAAAATATAAAAATTAAAGTTTTCAATTTTTTCTATAAATACTAAAATAGTAAATTGCATGAATATGCCTCTACGTCTCTTCACATCTCTGTATGACTCGTGTTTCTCCTTCAATGAGATTTCTGACCATTTGATGTATCATTCATATCCAGTAGAAGACATGTTATATTGAGATTTAATACTTAGGCTTAGGGGTTTGTTCATAACCTTAGTAAGCACCTCAGAGACTGATGTAAAGGGTCAACTTGATCTAGCTCAACATGTGATTTTGATGCACAAGGAGTTAGTAGCACACATTGACCCAACAATACGAAATTCAGCACCAAGGTTAACTTTTTTATCTGTACTCAGAGGCCCGAGGGCTCTAGTGTTACACAATTTAAATACTACGTACATCAGGTCTAATGATGTCACCCAACTGAAACATTTAGAGGAGCACTGCATCAGTCTGTACTCAATCTGGAGCTGAGATAACGGAGACGTTTTTCTTGTCAGGACACAAAAGTCAGAACGAACATGAACAAATCATTCTTTCTGAATTGTAAATCGTTTACTGAAAAGAACTGGCTTTTTGAGCATTTTTGAAACTTAGTCACTGGTGAAAATATCTAATTAAAATAAAATGTCAAAAGTTTTGTTCCACAGAAGAAAGAAAATCATATACGTTTGAAATGACATGAACAACAGAATTTTCTTTTTTTAGATGAACTATCCCAATAAGAAAAGCCACAGTAGAGATCTATTAAAGTAATGATAATGACTGATAAAGTTACCACCCATCTACAAGTCAAAACATTTTTAAGTGGTGTCAATTCAAAACAACTAAATAGATTCTGTTCTCCACAACAAAATATAAGATGGTACAAAACATAAGAAAGCCTTTTAAGGATATTTAATCCATAGTTTAAAAAAAAGATGCATATTCAGACCCGAATTGATATTTTGACCTATTATCATATCAAAGTATTCTGTTTCTCTGCATTATTCATCGAGACTAACGCTGATGCATTTTTCATTGACTTTAATCATGGTGTCAGATAAACCTCTTTTCTGAATCACAATTAAATGTACAATGTTTCATACACAGAACATTGGATGTGCATATTGTGGCACACAGACGACACGACAAAGAGACATAGGATTTAGTACGTTTCAATCAAAAATCAATACTTTTATTCAGAATGATGGATTAAATTGATCAAAAAGTGACAATAAAGACCTTTACATTATTAAAAATAAATCTATTTCAAATAAATGCTCTTTTAAACTTTCTATTCATCAAAGAATCCCAAGAAAAAAAAAATTGAGCAGTACTATTTTTGACATTGATGTTAATGAGAAATGTTTCTTGAGCACCAAATCAGCATATTAGAATTATTTCTAAAGGATCATGTGACACGGAAGACTGGAGTAATAATGCTGAAAATTCAGCTTTACCATCACAGGAAAAAATACAAATTTAAAATATATTAAAATACATAAAACGGTTATTTTAAATTGTAATACTATTTCACAGTATTACAGTTTTTACTGTATTTTTGATCAAACAAATGCAACCCTGGTGAGCATAAGGGACATTCTTCAAAAAAATCAAAGTCTTTGCTAACGTGTTAACCATGGTGAAAGTAAGAAATGAGACGCCGGCTTTTTAACCTAAACATATGACTTTGTCTCATAAATATCCCACAGCTCTCATAACCTGACGTTGCAGTTGTTTGATGTTTTGAGTAAGCCTGCATGAGTAAAAAGTAACAGTAAAAAGCTGGGGTGTGTTTCTCACTCTGACTGAGCAATCCGCTGTCACCCACTTGCCAGTTTTTCCAGAGGCAGTCTTAGAACCAGTGAATCATATTCGGGAACCACAACAAAATGGAGTCGGACAGGAGTTTCGTTTCCTTTTGACAGCTTCCTCCATTTCCTTAGCACAACTTCATAGCACTCTGCCCCCTCCTTGGCCAGGTTCAGCTGGTGGGCTGAGCTGAGAGTCACTGCTGAGTAACACAAACTGTGACACTGTTGGCCAGGTCATAGCACGTATATGATCTAGTGTAAATAAACTGAGAGACCCTTGGCTTATACAAACACATGTGAGCTCAACCCATATTTTTAGCCTTTAGTTATGTCAAAAGTATTAAAGGGTCCTCATGTTGTTCCAAACTTTTGTGCTTCTATTTTTGTCCATACAGTGAAAGTCAATGGAGTCCAATGTTATTTTGACTCTACTCAAGAAAGTCATAAAGGTTTGAAACAACATGAGGGTGAAACCCATTTTTGGGTTTACTATCCCTTTAAATTTGCCACTTACTTTTGCAGGCTGTGTCAGGGGGCGGGACATTCTCATACTAGGGAGGATTTGATTAGACCAAATCAGTGTAGTGCAGGATGAGTCATCAAAACTTTGGGTCTGTTTTCCTATATAAAACTGCAAATATCAAATGCATATATCTCATTAAGATTCATTTTGTCAGATTTTCTTCTAAATTTTTTGACTCCAAGACCCCATTTTGTTCAAGAAGGTTTTTGAATGTGTACTTCTGGTACTTCTGTTGTTACAAAAATAAACTCAAAAATATGTTTTCAACTCAAAAGCATTTTGATTAAGATTATGTTACATATAACTAATTTAAATAACTGTAAGACTTTTTTTAGCCCCCCCCCCCCCTTGCTGAGG